GCGAAAGGAAGAATTCGAAATTGGTCTGCCCGGAAAATATCGTGTTTACCCAACCTTCCGATACGTTCTCGGCCAGTGATCACGATAAGATATTCGCCTATTATCGGATCATAAAGTCAATCAAAATTATTATTAAATTTGTAATAAATTGCTACTTTACCTACCAGATAATAATTTTATAACACCAAAAACACCATATATTGTCAGAGCTTCGGCGTTAAGATTTGGGATCAATGATTCGCGATCTTTTTAATATAATTACAGTTAAAAAAAATTTTTTTTTTGATTTTTTTTTTTTTTTTTTAATCAAAACCACAAAAGTAAAATATCATGGTTTTACAAATACCGCCAAGTACAAAAGCGCCAGTATTTCTGTTTATAACCAGAGTATGAGCTAATACAGTTGGGTCGAGATAATAGGGTACAAGAATATACGAATCATTTGTAGCATATCTATTACGAAATATTGTTTCGGGACGAGTCAAATGTTAGTTATCGAATGCACTATATTAGACCCCAGCTCACCATTACCCTATAACCTACAAGCTCAAAGATTCATGTACCATTGTGAACGAATGTGTAATTTGTATAATTAAAATAAAATTTTCAAGAAGTCGTTAGTGAGAATTATGAAAAGTTTTATTAAAGATGCAAATATTTATGTTGTGGAAAATAGATATCATATATACAAAATTTGTTAATTTGTTGCCGTGTAACAGTAACAATATGCATTATTTGGCCGGAATTAAAAAAAAAAGTACTGTAGCATAAGGCATAATTCTGGCTAACAAATAGAACTCACAAAACCATAACTGTATCGGCATACACATTGCAGATACTGTATGATTGGTTAACAGGTTCTTATAATACGTATTGGAGTGACACAATTAGTAGTGCAGGTCATATAGTAAATTCTCATAACGGTCACAGAATATCTGCAATGTAATATTACTTAAAATAATTTTCTTTTATTTTTCTAAATTTAATATTATTAGTATTATTTTATTTCTTTCTTAATTCTTTTTTTTTTATTAATTTTTTCGATATATATGAATTTATATTATATAAAAATGTTATAAAATGTTGATTTAAATAATCTTTTTTTATTACAATTTTTATAAAGTATTTTTAAAGATTTTTTTTTTTTTTGTTTTTTAACAAGCTGTTCACAGATTTTTATTAAGTATTATTTTTCAAGTTACATTTGTTAGTGAGAATACAATTGGCTACACATACAACTTTAGTTGTTGTCTATTTACAGGTTCTGCTTGTAGATACTTTATTTAAACTCTTTGGCATCATTAGAGATAGGTACAAGAGTATCATGCTATTTATACATGTAGTCATGATATGCACTTAAGTGCTTATACTACTTAAAAATAATAATCTTGATGATTATTACAATTCAAAATTGTTATGTAGTAAATTAAAACATTATGAAAAGAATATTAATAAAGTAAAATACTTATATGTATATAGTATATATTTGTAACTAAATTTAAAAGTGTACTTGTATTTGAAAAGTTTTTTTTTTTTTTGTACTTCTCTTTGTAAAAAAAAAAAAAAGTAAATTAAAGGTCAAATATGTTTTTAAAATTACAAAATACATATTATTATTTATTTTTTTATGAACTTGTTATACAAAAAAATTAAAGTATTTAAAGATATTTTTTTAATATTTACTACATTTTAATTTTTCACTATTATTTTTTTAATATTAATTATACTTTCATATGTATTTTTTTTTTTATAACTTTGGTAAAATTTTTAATTTTTTAATTATTTGTTATATTAATTTTTTTTTATTTATATAATATTAAATTATTTGATACTTTTACCTGGTTTTCTTTTTATAGTTCTAGAAAAATTTTGGTAATTGATTTTCATATACTAATACTTGTATCTGTGCTTTTTCTTTGTTTTTACTTCTGTGAGATTCTTAGTGATCTTGAATTAATGCATACA